TCTTTTTTTATTCTTCTTTTATTTTTTATAACATTGAATACGATTATTTATACGAAATGATTTTATACGTTATATATGCATTAAACATAATCTGATAGTTGTCAACGTTTAATAACATGTAACGAGTAAATTTATTATCGTTCTCTGTCTCTGTACGTGAATGATATTCGTTGCGTTCGACTTCTTTTATTCTCATAATAAATTTACGGTAAAAAAAAAAAAAAAAAAGAAAAAAAATAAAGATATATCGATAAAATAGTTACGGACGCGCATGCGCACGTCTATCAATTGATATAATATATAATTATCACTTTTTAATCTTATCACAAATAATCGTCGATTATTAACTGATGTGATATAATCAATAATTTGTTAATATTGGAATTCGCGAATGATTCGATTCGATTCGATTGAATACCGATGTTAGATGACGGAAATGATTACTATTAATGTAATAAAAATTTATATTCAACAAGTAAAATATGAAATTGTCAGGATGACGGAGAACCAACAATCTTCTCGATGGTAGGTCTTCGGAATCATATTCCTGCAAAACAAGGTGCATGTAATGAAATTTAATGCCTCTCTCTATCTCTCTCTCTCTCTCTCACTCTCTCTCTCTCTCTCTCTCTTTCCCTCTTATTTTTCTTCTCCCTCCACCCTCTTTCTCTACTCCTTTAATAGCTCTTCAGATTGATTCATCTTCGATCTGTTTTTGCAATAAATATTCCCTCTCTTACGCGTCTTGATTCATCAACGTCAAGCCGAGGACAACACGGACACATCGTAGATTCACTAACATTCATGCATTTATGATTGAAAAATTAGTAATCGAAGTAGTTTACTGCTAACTGTCGATATGATTTTTACCGAGTACTCGATTCAATTTTTTTTTCTTTTTCCTGTTTGTTTTTTTTTTGTTTTTTTTTGTTTTTTTTTTTTTTGTTTTTTTTTCAATCTTCGGAACATCATATTTCTCTTCGATCTTTCACTCTTTCTTTTTTCCTTTCTCCTTCCATTTTCTTCTTGTTATTCGTTATATATATATATATATCTACTAGAGATCATCGATCTACTCGGAACACCTACGGCGTATCAAGTTTATTTTTTGCACAAATTTATACATAACTTGAACGTGACGATTCAATAAGAACGAATAAAAAAACTTGAAACGTGAGTGAATCACGAGTCGGTCATCCTGTCAATATAGCGAGCTCATTAATTTGATTTTAAATAATAGTAATAATAATAATAATAATAATAATAATAATAATAATAATAATAATAATAATAATAATAATAATAATAATAATAATAATAATAATAATAATAATAATAATAATAATAATAATAATAATAATAATAATAATAATAATAATAATAATAATAATAATAATAATAATAATAATAAAATAAAAAGAAAAAGAAGAAGAGGAAAAATAAATAAAGAAAAAAAGAAAAAGAAGAAGAGGAAAAATAAATAAAGAAAAAAAGAAAAAGAAGAACGAAATATTATGTTAATATTTAACATAATGAAGCTATTAATGTACGATAGGAGATAGAAATATTTATCGTGTCAATGTGATATCGATGCAATTATTTGTGCAATTAGTCGTACGTCAGAGTAAATCTATGTGTAGGTATATGTGAGAGAAAGAGAGAGAGAGAGAGAGAGAGAGAGAGAGAGAGAGAGAGAGAGAGAGAGAGAGAGAGAGAGAGAGAGAGAGAGAGAGTGAGACACCATGGATAGGTGTAATCTGATGATTCGAGATATCTCGACACGCTATGACATAGCACTGTGTAAAGAACATGATGATCGGCACGATGCAAGATTTCATTTGAGTGTTATTCGAATCCTGCGAAGGAAACCTTTTGACCTCGTTAATTATATATCACCGTGTCGTTACCCAAAGGTCAAAGTTTCTTTTCTTCTTCTTCTTCTTCTTCATTTTCTTCTTCATCTTCTATATGAATTTTCACTAACCAGTACGAGTTAGGAAAATTCATAATTTATTATCTCATGCATAGACATTATGCAGTTCATGCTCTTCAAATGTAGATTCATCGTATCCCGTCGTGCATCACATTCAAAATCATTTTCAAATATTTTATTATCCCTTTTCTTTCCTCTTCTTCTTTTTCTTTTTATCTTCTATTCAATCTTTCAATTATTCGATTATCCCTTATTATAATCTGACATAGCTATCGTACAATTGCAACTTAAATAGAAATAATATTTTCAATGAAATTCAATCGATAACAAAAGTTAAAATTCTAATTAGAATATCCTAAAATGCATACGATCATAGTATAAAATAACTTGTAACAACCACCGATAAGATATAAAAGTTATATCACTCGATAAGTATCTTTTGGTGGTAAACCTAACGGTTGATCAAAGAGATAATATATATACATATACGGATACTACCGCGCTAACAACTATGTCCTGTCGACATTATCGTTATCAATGATTATATCAACTAGGATTATCGGTCGTCGTTAACTAAATTATTCGATTTATTATCATTATCTACAACTTTTACTCAAAATCGTTAAGAAAATTAGCTTATTAACATCTTCTTTCACGTGCCAATGTCAACTATATATATATATATATATATATATATATATATATATATGTATAATGGCTTATATAACGAGTTAATTTTAATTAAAAAAAATTTCTACGCGACTTTCATTTCCTATCTTTCTTTCGAAAAAATTCGAAATAATATCCGAGAGAGAGAGAGAGAGAGAGAGAGAGAGAGAGAGAAAGAGAGAGAGAGAGAGAGAGAGAGAGAGAGTTCAGATTTAACAAATAATTTCATTAAACTTGTGCTCGTTAAATTGTTAAGAATATCATCTTATTAACGTATCCTTCAGGTATCGATCAACCAACAATTATACCTCGACTTGCGTAACGAGTTAATTCTGATTAAAAAAAAAAAAAATGAATTTCTCTTACTTTGTTTATCTCTTAATATCAAAAAAAAAAAAGAAAAACAGAAAAAGAAAAAGAAAAAAAAAAGGAAAAAGAAATTCCAAATAATATTCATCGAGGTTGAATTTCACGAATAATTCTTTTTATCAAATTCATGATACCCACGAAGCATTTGACATTGACACGAGAATAAAGTCAATTTCTTAATGGCAACTGTACAGTACCAGTGATATATTGCGATGGTCAGGGTCGACCGTTTGTGCCCGGAGAAAGAGAAAGATCGAAGGTGAGTAGGAGAATATGAGAAGTAAAAGAGAGAAAGAAAGAAAGAAAGAAAGAAAGAGAGAGAGAGAGAGAGAGAGAGAGAGAGAGAAGGAGAGAAGAAAAGAGAGGAGGGGTCGTCCTTGCCCGCAGCTCCGAACTGGTTATGTCAAACAGCCGAGGAACGTGTTGTTGCCCTAACATGCTTTCGAGCCCAACTCTTTCGACGTGTAGGCATTCACGGGATGAGTCTGAACGTGTCTCTAAATGCCAGCTTTTTTTTCTAGCCCCACTTCCGGCTCCTCGATCGTCCATCACCAAGTCCGTATTACCGTCTCTTGACGTCGTTCGGTTAACAATCATGAAGGAGTTGGACTGGGGGGAAAGGGTGGGGGGCGGGTGGGGGGAATTATCTTTTTTTTTCTCTTTTTGAACTACTTGCCCCTGCCTCTATCCCTATCATCTTCCACCCACCTCAACCCAGTCATCTTATCCATCACTTCTCCTATCCATCACCTTCTCTTCACGAGAATCGATCGAACAAGTTACATATACTTACCATTCCGGTATTGCCTAGTTATTTCGTTCTCATCTTCTGCATGCGATTAGCGATCACTAAAAATTATAAAACGTTATTTTATCGAGTTATCACGTGAGACTTTTCTCCTTTCTTTTATATCTTCACGTGATCATCGTCGGATAATTTTAATTCGACGATCTTTCTGGGATAAATTATTTTCTATTTTTTTTTCTTTTTTTCTTCTTCTCGGTCTATCCAAATTGATTCTTTTTCTTTCCTCTTCCATTTTTTTTTCTTTTCTTTTTTTTCTCTTCTTTTTTTCAATTTATATATTTATAAACACATATGTATGTATATATTTGGTTTGGTTTAATCGTGAAAAAAATCAATATACCGATATGCTTGTCACGTTTCGGTTACTTTCGCACGATACGTGAAAGATATATCGTAATTAGCACTGATTAAGAAAGATTGCAAGGGAAAAAAATACAGAGAGAGAGAGAGAGAAAGAGAGAGAGAGAGAGAGAGAGAAACAGAGAGAGAGAGAGAGAGAGAGAGAGAGAGAAACAGAGAGAATGAAGAGATTCATTCGTGTATACCAACTAAAGTAGTCACGAAATCTGATGAATTTATGGAGTCTTTAAATGAAGTCAATTAAAAATACGAGAACCGGTTTTATTAAGTTCGAAACCGTTAATATGGTTAATTAGATGCTATAAACTTTGAACTAAGGATTTGCATATGGTATCCCTTTCTTATCGATCCTTAAATCTTTCTATTTATGCAGGGACAAATAGGATAAACCAAATGGTCACATGACCGGACTCAGAATTGTATTGCGATAGTATTCACATGTCGTTGTTCAACGTAATTAGCGTTACTAATTAACGTACACACACGTTCGTTTATAATTATAAGCCGACAAAACGCTATATTTTGATTGATTATCATCTACGTCTCCTTATTCTTTATTACTTATTATTATTGGTTACTCGTACTATCACATATCTTATCTTACTTTCAATTATACGAGACTGAAAGACAAAAAAAAAGACAAAGAAAGGAAAAAAAAAACAAAACAAAAATAAAGAACAAAAAAGAAAACAAAAAAGAAAAGGAAAAATATCACATTCTTTTGCGTTAATTATTATCTTTTTCTTTTTTTCGTTTTCCCATTCTCACTCTATCTCTATTTCTATCTCTCTCTTTCTTTCTTTCTTTGTATTTCTTTTCTTCTTTCTTTTTTTTCTTTTCTTTTTAATTTTTTTTTTACAGGTGAACGTTCCTCGACAAATCAAAAGGATGTTCGCCAGGCTATGCAGACAAACTCCGAACGGTAAGTCTACGTAATCATTGTCATTAAAAATTCCGTATGTATAATACCTGTTAATTATAATCACAAAAGTGATCATATTATTGATAGCGAGGAAGCTGTTAGTCGAAGCAGTGGCACGGTCTTCATGGTTATGAACTTACTCGCAAACAATGGTAGAACTCTCACGGCGATATATCACTTCTGACCTCGTGAATAAATCTTACAGATCGTGCATTGTAATTTTTAATGTTAAGAGCGCTACGGTTAAAGGAAGAACAGAGAGATGATGATTTATAGACATTACCTTTATATACCTCTCTTTGCATGTTATTCATAAAATCGCGTTAAACTATATCAAGCTTTTTTTTTTCTTTTTACATTGGTAAAGAAAAAAAAAAGGAAAGAAAAAAAAAATCAGATATTACACGTTTGGATGATAAAATGATATGAGGATAAAAAAATTTTTAATATTAAAATAATTCGCGACTAATCGATCGATCATTAATTATTGTCATATTGTTAAAATCAACAAGAAAATATTGATAAGTTAATGATTTTAAAGAGTAATTGCAATTTGAGCTATATACTTACATACATACATACGTACGTATGTTCTATGCATATATATATATATGTATGTATGTATGTATGTATGTATGTATGTATGTATGTATGCATGTATGTATGTACGAAGAATAAGTTATGTTGCACTTCCGTATGCATACGACTGGGGGCGGCCCTTTAAGTGGTAGCCATGAGCAGCTTGTTGAACACGCCTTAACCTCTGTGATCTTGACTTTGCGGCTTGTCTTAGGCAGAAGGACTAGAGATGGTGGTTATTAATACGAAGAATCTCCATAAGCCATCTTCTTTGAGTCTACTTAACGCTCCTTCTGCGTCCTTAATAGACTTACCGAGCCAACAAAAAGTTCAATATTGTTCGTAACTTTTTTCCAACTTATATTTCATTTACCATTATTATCTACTACGTTACAATATACTTTTTTCTTTTTTTACATTGGTCCATTCAATTAAAAATTTCAACAATTTCGAAACACTTTTAGTTAACTTTAAGTTCGCGATCGTGTTATACTTTGACGTACATAATTTTTTTTTCCCCTTCTCCTTAACGATTTTACGAGGACGGATTTTTTTTTTTTTTTTTTTGATGAATTTAAATAAATCGAATTTCCGTTGAGACGTTAAAAATGATATTTAATATCTTTTTATAAATGATTTGATGATATGATTGATAATAGAGATCGATTTAAACAAGATATTATTTAAGTTCAATTAACATTTATGTATTATTCGTCGATCGAAAAAGTCGATCGAAAAATAACTAATGTTCATCATCGACCATTGAACCTGACTGTTCTCAAACTTTTCGAGAAACTTAGGGTTCGCGTGCCGAGGTCATGTTGGTACCAACCAAGAAGGCGTGGGAACGGGAAAATCGTCGATACTTTTAAACTCTCGAATTAAATCCTTTTTGTTCCACTTTTTTCCGCTGGGCAAAAAAAAGGGAAGCAAGAGTTTTCGACGCTTGAAAATTGGCATACGTGAATTCGTGAAAGAATAAATTCTAAATTGATATTCTTCATGAATAATGTTCACTAAAGTAACGGAGACCTATTGTGCAATGTTTCCTGAGCCTTACTTAAAAAAAAAAAAAAAAAAAAAAGAAAATAAAGACAGAAAAAAGAAACAAAAAATATTCTCATAAAAGAACCGACTCGTACATTTTACACCTGCGTATCAACGAATCATATCACCTTTTCTTTTTTCTTTTTTTTTTTTTATGAGATACAAAATATTAATTTAATAATAACAATAATTCTTCCGAGATTCATATTACATTGATAAACCTTTTCATTTCGAAATAGTCCGAATAGTTTTAAATGTTCGTACGGCCTAACATATCTCTCTCAATAAGTTACATAATAATATTATAGCTTTCTCCTCTGCAATAAATCTAATCCCTAATAACGGTAATCATTCTCATTACCCTCGCTAAAGGATAAAGGGAAAAAGTATACGTGTCTATTGGCATCTTCGACAAATAATTATTCGTTCTGCTAATTAAGTCATTTAACTCAACGAAAAAGTAATATCGTCGGTGGTTTGACCATTAGCGTTTAGAAAGTTGCAAACGTTTAACACTTAATTCCGTGGAGACATTCCGGCATTCAGAAATCCGGTATTAATGTACCAATTAATGGCTTCGTCGATAGAGAGGCGAGAGGAGAAAGAGAAGGAGGAGGAGGAGGAGGAGGAGGAGGACAGAGTAGGGTAAGGGGGATAGGAGGGGGAGAATAGAAGGGAGAAACTTTAACAGTTGGAAATTATTACGTTGTTTCAGAACTAACGTTCTTGCCGTGACATTATGAAAGTGGAAGTAGCACCGTGAACGTTTATGGTCAAAGTATGACAATCGAGTATGCTCATCACTTCCCGGGGCCTCCTCTCCACATTGGCCCCCCCCTCCCCACGTCTCTCACCTCGCCCATCTTTGATGTAATTCCAAAAGAAAATAAATTAATTGCCTTTATAATGGTTTTAACTCTTAACGGTAATTCGATTCGAAGTTTCGGTTTTTGTTTCTTTTCTCTATTTTTCTTTTTTTTTTTCCCCTTTCATCGATCGTCAATTTTCATTCTTTCTCTCTCTCTCTCTCTCTTTCTCTTTCTCTCTCGAAAATAATATTCGACGTTCGATAATAGTTAAAAACCATTTTTATCTTGCTACAGGATTATCATTAACTCGAGATTATGACGGCGAAGAGAAAGTTAGTTTGAAAGAGACGGAGAAAGAATATCACCCTATAGAAGTTCCCTTCTCCACGAGTCTTTAAAATCTTCGGTGCCGGTTAATTAGCATGCTAATTAGTTGTACGAACCCCACGAGTCGAGTATACGACGAGGAACAGCATCGTTTCTTTCTAAGTGATAGGACCTCGTGATCGATTTGCCAAAGCTCACAGCACGATTCTCAGATTGGCGAATTTTATGGTGGAACGAGGTATATTTTCAATCTGATATTAATATAACGTAAGAGTGAGATCACTTCATTGCAAATTTCATGTTAAAAACGAATTATATTAATAATATTTCTGAATGTTCTAAACAAAAACAAATAACAACAACAACAACAACAACAACAACAATAATAAATAATAATAATAATAATAATTATTATTATTATTATTACTGTTAATGAGAATATTTAAAAAAAAAAAAAGAAAGAAGAAGACAATCTATTTTTTTTTCCCTTTTTTCGTTTTTCGTTATCTAATCACATTAAAATGATAGAACATGATTTGTTGGTAAGAGAGATTGTTAGGAAACGCCTTTTGAAATTAACGCGTCACGTAGTTAACATTTAAATCGATGTTAAAGTTTACGATAGGTAAAACCGCAGTGTGGTGAATGGGAAAAACGAAAATCTTGGTAGAACGACGAAGTAAGTCCTCGTAAAGAAGTTAAGTCACGACGTGTCCTGCACACGCACGATCATTAAGTCCATTAAGTCTTATCTTCGTGAAAGAGGGAGACGCCACTTTAAATACGGGCTTTAACGGGACAAACAGTACGGAGGGAGAACACGATGATGATATGCGTAAGCATAAAAAAGAAAAAAAATTTACCTATCTATAATTTCGAATACGATTAGAAAACAATCGAGATCTCTTTTATAAACGATTTTATTGAACCTTCGTATAGAATTTTTCAATAATTATCAGGCTCGCGTGTAATAATAAATCGATGAACTCGATTGATCAATCTCAAACATTATTTGGTGGGATCTAATTTAAATTTTATTAGAGAGAGAGAGAGAGAGAGAGAGAGAGAGAGAGAGAGAGAGAAAGAAAAAGAGAGAAAAGCCAACATTTTAAATTAGCAACTACTCGTTCTCATACTAAAACAAATAAACTATTACTTTATTAATTCTAAAATAAATAAATTATTACTTTTATTTTGTATAAATTTCAATCATATAAATTTCATTTTATTCGTACTTTAACAAAGAATCAAGAAATATTATCAAATCAATCGTAAGATTCAATTAGGATATGATTATTCAATTAAGGATATTAATAAGTTAAACGAAGATATTAATTCTGATCGATAGAGTTTCTTTCTTTTTTTTTTTTTCTTTTTTATATGTCATCATAGTAAAATAAAAGAAATAAGATCGCAATTTTTTCCATGGCATTCGTATGAATCTCTCTCTCTTCCTCTCTTTCTCTTTCGCTTTCTTTCGTGTCTGGATTGCAAACTTGAGTTTATCGGGTTGTCGCGTGGCACGAACAAAGAAGAACTCCGGTAGGGTCACGAACTTCTTAAAGGGGGTTCGAATATCTCGAAGGTAGGAAAATAAGGTATAAATACACTGGCGTACCGTTCAGAGACTCGACGGGTCGTCTTTAAGCTGGGCGAGACAAAACATTGTCCGCTCAGCGGGACACGATGTTTAAGGAGATGGGAATGGCCGTAGGATAAGGTGTGTGCTTCAAATTGATTTGTTGTAAGTGATACGCCACCCTCGGCGAACGAATGGCACAATAATTGGCTACATAAACAATGAACGATGAAACAATTTCTCATGTCCGCTCGTTTATATGCGGAAACTCACATACAAATCACGAACCTTTTACTTGCTATCTTCTTCTTCTTCTTCTTCTTCTTCTTTTTTTTCTTCTTATTATTCTTCTTCTTATTCTTTTTTTTTTCTTATTCTCGTTATTGTTGCTCTTTCGTTCTTGCTTCTTCTGACCTGTTACACGGATTATCATCCACCGATATCGAATCGTTTCTAATAAAGTAGCGATTGCCCGCACGCGAGGGGAACCCGATGTTCTTTCTGACTCAATCAATTCTTTCTCTCTCTCTCTCTCTCTCTCTTTCTCTTTCTCTCTGATCATCTTCGGATCGAAATCGAATCATTAAGTCGAATCGTTAAACCACGGGACGAGATTTTGCGGTGATCGTATAAATTACACAAGATGTACCTATGTAATG